CCATATGAACGCAAAATTTGGCGTTATTCCTAAAATTAACGTTTCTGTCATTCAACTCGTTTCTTCCTCCTGATCTTCCTCCTACCCTTACTCTCCTCCCGTTTCCAGCTCTCAGCTTCGCCTCCGTCCAGCAAATGTTAAACAGAGTTCAGTTCTGATAGAATCGCTTTGCTTCCTATGGCCTGCACCTCAATTTTTATTCTCTCTTCCCTCTCCTCCGATCCCGAACACTTTCAGGCCTATGTGTGAAGTCGTATAGTAATGAAGCAAGCATGGTTAGCAGTGAAATTTCAAGCAAAATAATGTGAATAATTGATGAGAAGTGTCGCCTCAAATTTGTAACGCTCGTTGATTCCATTATCGTTCTGCTACTGCTAGCATTTGGGGCTGAAATAGTCTATAGTATGTACTTCTAATTTGGCTAATTTTCCAGTTTTGAAACCAATTCATAATCCAGACTTACCGAAAAACCACAGAACGTAATGAAAATACAAAGACCGCTTGGAAATTGAGTAACCCGTGTTAGTGATGTTACTGGTATGCTTCCATGCATCGCATGCAGCATTACAGGCTCTTCAGTCCTGAGTTACATACAGGAAAACAGTTTTCAAAATTTGACCTGTCTGTGATTCATGTTAGGGCTATTACTGAAAAAATTCGGTAAGTAAGCAATCGAAGGAAAGCGAAAGGGGTGGTAAGTACCACGCTTTGCTTTGAAGTATTTTTGTTGAAGTTTGATCTTAAATTTAGTCTTTTGAGAAAGATATTTTTTGCCTCAGTATCTAGAATGGGATCTTCTGAGGTAGTAATTTTTGACTTGGTTACTCCGATGTGTTTTTATGAGGTTGAATTTTTTGACTCATTACCTCAGATTATGCGACAACATTATTTGACTCAACATCTCAGATGTGATATTCATGTTTACATAACCGAAAAACAACATCAAAGTGCTAGCTAGTTTAAATTGATCAGTAAAATTCAAAATGAGGCAGAAGTATTAAGCTGAACTTTACTCGGCAGTCCAAAAATTTGATCCAGGCTTAGTTTTAAGCCATAATTGTAACTAGAACCAAAAAAATAAGGACGATTAATTTTTACTGCTGTTTTCATGAGACTTAAGCTGCTTCTAATTCGGACCATTAAAAATCACCGTCCCGCACTACACCTTCAACAAAATTCTCGTTCAACCTATTTCCCAGCATATCGGAATTACTACACGCTACTACGAAAGACTTTATTCCAGACAGTCATCGTCCTCATCATTGCTTTGTGCGGATCACTCAAATAAAAAATAATGGATTAAAATAAAAATCAAAATTAAAGCAGTTTTTTCAAAATTAAGGTGGTTGGTTGTACCTGCCACTTGCTCACTTTTTTACTTGCCAATATACCTGCTCAACTATTTACTTGCCTGCTTACCTACTTAATTAATTGCTCTTTTACTTATTTTTTTAGATGCTTTCCCACTTCCACACAACCTTCTGCCATCAGATAAATCGTCAGTTCGTCTATTGTCGTTTTGAACAATCAAAAAGGAAAAACAGGATCCCTCCGTACTTTTCTCCCCATAAGTTAAAGGTTCGAAAATCGCTCAAGTGATGATCCAGTCGGAGATTGCTTAAAAATGAGATGTTAACAAAATTTCTGCGTCTGTCAGCATCAACTAATCATTGAAACGAAATGAAAGGATCACTGAAAAATTGGTTTTTTTTTCGCTTGTGTGAATTTGTTCGATTTTTATTACAAGAGTGGCACTGCTTGTCATTGCACTGCGCCTCATAGCAGCTGTCTTGAAGAAAACCCGAAGTAATGGGAGCGATTTTGGGAGCAGCTATCTTAGAGAAAAGGGAGCGATTTTTGCCAAAAAATTAATAAAAATCATTGAAAAAAATCAAAAAATTTTATATTCAGCGCATCGAATCACACGTGTATCCTCCTGTTTTGCGTATTGGCACTACGGTCACGGTGAAACGTATGGCATCAACGTTGTGTCGGCCGATGATTGCGATCGTTTCTGCAAACTCATCAAAGATGGCTGCTGCCTGGAAGAATGGAATCCACGTGAAGTAGCACGTTGCTGCACTGCATCTCAGTCTTCGATGCCAACCACGATTGCTGCACATATCATGAAAATTTTCGAAGTGGATAAAGGAATTATCAAATCACGCACCGGACCTTTCGCCGAGTGCATTATCAAGATCACACAAAACGGGGCTTTGGTTCGACTTAACGGCAAAGATTTTTCACTAAATTTGGTTAGTAACCGCTTTGATTTGAAAAAAAAAAATTGCCACACTTTTTTATTTGCGCTCACTAGTGCGATTATTT